TCGTTGCCCCCAGCTCCTATTCTTCTTTGGGTACCTGTCCTACCTTAGTCACCAGGTAGAGTATAGGGAAACCCACCCTTTCCCTTGGCATTCTCACCAAGCTGTGTGTCACTAGTGAGCCAAGGATTTTTGTCTCTCTTTTTCCAACACTGTAACTAGAGCGCTGGACCCCAAGGTCTCCATATGATCTCTAAGCAGAAAAGCTTTGCCTTATGGAATATGTGCATTCCAACAAAGGGGGCTGCAAAAGAAAACTCCAGAAAGCAAATCCTATGTGTCTACTAATTTTCATGATAACCTCAAAGATATGTTCTCAATAAGAACACAATCTCTAACAGTTGGAATTGAGAACTTTAAGACTTTTTGAAAGAAAATGCATTTTCAGGTGATTTCACTTCCACTTCCTTACCCTTGTCTCAGGACACTTAAGTTTCATACTCTGAGAGCATAAAGCTGGTCTGCATACCTTCTCCTCCTCCCCTCTGGCTGTCTGCAGTATCTAACAGAAATGACTCAGAGACAGTGAGTTGCCAGAGGTGCCTGTCTGTCATGGGCAGACAAGCCGAACCCACTACCCAGTGGCCTGTGCACACACACCCCTGTTCTTGCACCTCCCTGAATGCCAGCTCCTGACACTGAAGCCATTGTGAAATGTAAGCAGACCTTTGGTTCTGAAGGGGAAGGAAGCAGGAAAGTTGGGAACTGCTCCTAGGATTTGACTGCTGACCATACTCTCTGCCGGGAATGGCTACCTATTCTGATGGCAGAGGGCCTGAAATGCTCTCAGTAAGACTCTCACTTGGCTCAGCAAGGGCTTTCCTGGTGGCTCAGACAGCAAAGAATCTGCCTGAAATGCAGGAGATCTGGGTTTGATCCTAGGTTTGGGAAGATCCCATGGAGGAGGGAATGGCTACCCACTCCAGTATTCTTGCCTGGAGAATCTCATGGTCAGAGGAGCCTGGTGCACTATAGTCCATGGGGTCGCCAAGAGTTGGGCAAGACTGAGCACATAAGCGTGTACATGTAACTCAGTGGGACTGGCTCTTATGAGCTGGCCTGGGCCCTCACCCCGAGGTGAACGGATAGTGTATGGGACAGTGCTCTGTTGGTTCCTAATGGCTGACGTCCAAAGTGGACTCCTGAACAGCCCTTAGGGACCCAAGATGTCCTTGAACATGGCTGGAGCGGGGTTACCGGGGTAAAGATAGGGGTAGGGTGCCTGTAGTGTGCTCCAGCCCAAATTTCCCTTCTGTAGGGTTCAGTCTTCTGACTATAGAAACAGATGAGAGGATCCATCCTACCCTAACGCTCCAAAGTCCACAGGCAGAGGGCCCCTGGGGGTGGGCCAAAGGGAGGATTCTGAAATGGGCAGAGTGGTCTGGGTATGCGCTGCTATGAAGCATTCACCAAGGGAGTCATCCAGCTTTATTGTCAGTCTTGCAGGCACTCAGAGTAGCTCTGAGCCCCTAAATCATGCGAATCCGTTATCCTCATGTGGCTCTTTGCATATCAAGAAGATCTCGGGTTGGGGGGGAGTGATATGCTCCAGAGAGCAGTCAAAAGGTAAGAGATGACATTTACAAAAATCCATTCTTTCCTCTCTACTTCACTGGTCTATTGACTGTTTCCCTGTTCAATCAAATCCTATTCACAGCTTCACATCCCCTTTCATGGGCTGCCAAGGCGATAAATATCCTGTCCTTTCTTTACCATGCTTGCCGCTGCCATGCCTTTTTCTCTCCCTTGCCCATCCTGGAGGGCCTGGATCCTTTCTGCTTGGGTCTCTCATGTCTACAGAGTCTCTACTCAGTTCCCAGCACCTGGGACAAACCAAGTGCTTTGGCCCCTCCTGCTGCTTTCACCTTTCCCCATGACTCTTCCCAATGCTGGCTGTGTGTGTCCAGCTGAGAATTGTCGCCCCATCAGCCCTACTCTTGCACCTTCCCTGGTAGCTCAGTTGGTAAAGAATCCGCCTGCAATGCAGGAGACCCCAGTTTGATCCCTGGGTTGGGAAGATCCTCTAGAGAAGGGATAGGCTACCCACTCCAGTATTCTTGGGCTTCCCTGGTAGCTCAGTTGGTAAAGAATCCGCCTGCAATGCAGGAGACCCTGGTTCGATTCCTGGATTGGGAAGATCCCCTGGAGAAGGGAAAGGCTACCCACTCCAGTATTCTGGCCTGGAGAATTTCATGGACTGTAGAGTCCATGGGGTCTCAAAGAGTCGGACATGACTGAGCGACTTTCACTCACAACCCTACTGTTAAGTTATGACCTTGTTCATGTCCCAGGTGTCATGGTACTGACTTTTGGAGGAACCATGAGCTAACAGTGCAGCTTCCTTGTAGGGGGAGCAAAGGGGGATTGCACAGAACACGCAGGGCAGGAGAAAGGAGAGAGTCCTCATGCTCACATTCCCCGTTGATTGCTTACTCTGCTGCTTTGACTTCGTCTTTGCTTTCTCTTGTGGGTTCCCTCGTGCTTGTTTATGAGGATTTAGTGAGCAATGCTATGTACAAGGCATCATCCTAGACTGAAAACACAGGAAGAACATCAGGGCCTGACCACAGAGGGTCAGAGCCCTTGTGTCAAGACTGATGTCTTGACTTGATGTCAGTAAACAGTGCATCCCACCTTGGGTGCATACAGTTAGCTTTGCCTCTAGCAGATCCAGAGCAAAATTTGCTTTGGGGTGATTCAAGCTTATTTCACCCCTTCAGCAGCTCATCACGCAGTGTTGGAGTGCTATAAGGTAGTCCACCTGACTCACTAATGCATTTGGCCCGATCTGGTGAATAGCTGGTAGGTGAGGTCCCTGTCCAGAAAGGGTCCTAGGAACAGTCAGTACCCAGGTGTCCTTTCTTGTAGCTCAATCCACGCCCTCCTCCTCCTTATCCACCATCTCCACTATTATCACTGACTGAAGGCTCATTATATGCCAAGCACTATATTCAATTTCTTCGTTTTGGATTCTTACAATAGTCCTGTGAAGATGGCCATCTTGATGTTGTCATTTCAGAGCTGGGGATGTGAATGCCCTGGGGCCGGGGTGGGGTGGGGAATGAAGCACTTGCCCGGGACCACAGAACCAGTAGAGAAGAGCTCAGACTGTCAGACTGAAACCTAGCCTGTCTGAGCCGGGGGTGTGGTGGGCTGAGACACACAGCCAGCTACCCTCCAGTACCTTTCTCAGCACTGGGCCAGGCCCCGGCTCTCTGTGAACACACTGATTCTTTGTCTCAGACAGTAACAGCTTCTGTGCTTCCGCAGCTCCAGGGGCCCACCCTTCTAGGCAGTTCTACTTGGGCTGAGCAGTGCAGTCTACAATTCAGAGCTGAGGGGCATGGGGCCCATTGCACTTGGTCTGGGTTCTTCAAGTCATGGACCTTCCCTTGAAGGGTGATTTCTCTGGGAGAAGGGTCAAGTGGAGGTCCTACTGCAAGGTGGGACCTGCTCAGGGAGTCTGCACGATATGGCTCCACCCTTGTCACTGGTTGGAAAAAAAATTCCAGCCCCCTTGGGGCTTCTTGGGGACCTGGGTCAGCAAGAGTTTAGCCCTGTTGGTCCCAGCTGCCATGCTTGTGGCTGAAGACCTGACTGTCCTTCCGTCCAGACTCTGGATGGAAGCCTTGAAGGCTGGGAGCAATTCTGGGATGAGGTGAGCCTGGGGCAGGGCCTGGACTGGAAATGCTTCTGGGCTTCAGGCACTTTATAGAACTGCTTCATTTATTTGTGAAGGTATTTATCAACCTCATTATGAGGTTTTCATGAGCCTTATTTCCATTTTGCCAGGGAGGACACACAGGCTCAGACCAATCTAGTGACCTGGCTTAAGGTTATTGGCTACTAAATGCCCACGCCAGGATGTAAACTCAGATTTGCCAGGTTCTTCTACCAGTCTACTGCTCAGTGCTACTGAGTGCCCTCCAGGAGACCACCCAGCATCCCCCAGCGGGGAGGAGCTGCAGGTCTTTGTGGACATGGGCTTGGTGAGCTCTGTCCCCACCCCGGGGAGGGGGTTGGGTTGGGGGAGGCCAAGGCTTTGCTCACTCTGCCTGCAGCAGCTCCTTCTGGTCCCCGAGGTGAGTTGGGCTGACAAGCACCTCGTCTCAGGTCACTCCACCTCCTCTTGCCTCCCCTTCCAGGGCCTTCTGTGCTGCTGAGGCATGTGATGCTACAGAACTCGCTCGCTGCCTGTACACAATGCTGGTCTGCCCAGCCAGGCATGGAGAGCTGCTGAGCTGTGCCCACAGGCAGACTTGTGCGGATATGGTTGCCCCAGGGGCTAACCTGGAAGTGTTAGGTACGTAAATGTCCTGTTGAGTGAATTTGACTAATGAGAGAAAGAAGGTGGGAAAGATGTGGCTGATAAATTCTCTAATTCTATCCTGATGGGCTATTCTGCAGTGCAGGACTGTATGTCTCACTGTAGAAGTCTAACATGACCAAGTTGTGGGTCTTGGTAGATGGTGGCCCGATCAGCAACATGTATGTGCTTTCCCTCCTCCTACATGCCATTTTCTTTTTTCCTTCTATCTTATTTCATTTGGATTGCAACTTCTCCTCTCCAATGAAACGTTGACATGCAAGACTTGCCCAGGGCTTTGCTTTCTAGATAACACAGATTAAGCTAATTGTAATAGTAATAATTCCATTTATTTTACTATGTGGCAGCTAAATCACCTTATTGAATCCTCACACTATCCCTATTAAGCAAGTATTATTAGTTGCCTAATTTTAAAGATGAGGAAACTAAGACTCAAAGAAGTTAAGGAACATGCTCATGGCCATATAGCACGTAAGATTTAAGTGAAGGTTTAACGTAGCTCTTCTGTTCTTCCAACACCAGAACCTGAACTCAAAACCACCCTCGACTGAAGTCACCTTTAACCTTTAGAAATGCCAAGGAAACCCGAGTCTCCTGCAAGGAACCACCCGCAAGAGGCTGCCAAGGATGCTGGGGAGCCGGGGCGCTGCGCAGGAGAGGGCTCTGGGATACTCACGTTGTAAACGCTGGGTTGTACTTTGCACCTCGGTAGTAGGAGTACAGATTGAACATCCCAATCATGAAGGCCACAAATACCATGATGAAAATGACCATGAACTTGAAGATATCTTTCACGGTTCTCCCCAGGGAGATCTGCAGAGGCCCAAAACTCTCGTTGGCTGGCAGGATGTATGCGATTCGAGAGAAGCTCAGCACGACAGCTATTGCGTATAGCCCTTCTGATATGATCTGAGGGTCTGAAGGCCACCACTTGTCCCTGGCTAAAAGAAAACAAGCTGGGTGACTCACTGGGCCACAGGATCTGCTCTGGAAGAGAAACCAGTTAGGCATCTGTAGAGGCCTCTGACCTCATCACTTGTCTGCCTGCCCTTGTCTTTCATCCCAATACACTGAAGTTGCCACCCTCCCTCTTGGCATATGCTGGCTCATCTGTCTAGAGCACCCTCCCCTCACTTCAATCCCAGCCTTCCTTCAAGACCCTGCTCTAGTGTCAGCTCTTTTGGGACGTCCTCTGTGCCCCCCTTCACTCCCCACCCCCCGCCTTCTGGGCAGCCTCCCTGCCCCTCTCTGCTCCCACGGTGGCCTGTGTACGCTCCCGTCATGGCCCTGACCAGGCTGCTTGCTCTCCTGTCTTCCTTCCCAGGGTCTGAGCTCTACAAGCAGGGGTTGTCCCATCACAAGAAGGTGGTGGTGCAGAGCATAGACCTAGGTATCAGGAAGGCCTGAGGTTGAAAGTGGCCTTTCTAGACAGTGGCTAACATTTTTTTTTCCTGTGAAATCTTTTATTGTCACTTAAAATTTTTTTAAAATATTTTAATTTTATTGGCGTATAGTTGATTTATAATGTTGTGTTAGTCTCAAGTATCCAGCAATGTGATTCAATCATACATATTTTTTTAAATATTCTTTTCTCATATAGGTTATCACAGAATATTGGATGGAGTTCCCTCTGCTGTGCAGTAGGTCCCTATAGATCATCTACCTTATATATGGTGGTGTGTGTTTTCATTCCAAGCTCCTGATCTGTCCCTCTCCTCTTTGGTAACCATAAGTTTGCATTTGATATCTGTAAGTCTGCTTCCATTTTGTAAATAAGTTGATTTGTATCTTTAAAAAAATTAGATTCCACATGAGTGTTATATGATATTTGTCTTTCTCTGACTTACTTAGTGTGATAATCTCTAGATCCATCTGTACTGCAGTAAATGGCATTATTTCATTTTTTATGACTCAGTAACAGTCCACTGTGTATATGTACCACAACTTCTTTATTCATTCCTCTGTCAATGGACATTTAGGTTGCTTCCATGTCATGGCTATTGTGAATCGTGCTGCAATGAACATTGGGGTGCATATATCTTTTCAAATTATGGTTTTCTCTGTGTATGTGACCAGGAGTGGGGTTGCTGGATCATATGGTAGTTCTAATTTTTTTTAAAATTACATTTATTTTTAATTGGAGGATAATTGCATTACAATATTGTGTTGGTTTCTGCCATATAACAGCATGAAACAGTCATAGGTATACAGATGTCCCCTCCCTCTTGAAAACCTCCCTCTACCTCCCACCCATCCCCCGCTCTAGGTTGTTACAGAGCGCCTGACTTGAGCTCCCTATGTCATATAGCACATTTCCACCGGCTGTCTACTTTTGCACATGGATACATATATGTTTCAATGCTACTCTCACAATTTGTCCCACTCTCTCCTTCCCCCACTGTGTCCACAAATCGGTTCTCTGTGTCTGTGTCTATACTGCTGCCCTGAAAATAGGTTCATCAGTGCCATCTTTCTAGATTCCCTATATATGCATTAATATATCATATTTGTCTTTTTAAATTTTTTTCCCATTTATTTTTATTAGTTGAAAGCTAATTACTTTGCAATATTGTAGTGGTTTTTGCCATACATTGACATGAATCAGCCATGGATTTACATGTGTTCCCCATCCCGATCCCCCCTCCCGCCTCCCTCCCCAATATTTGTTTTTCTGACTTCACTCCATATGATAGGCTCTAGGTTCATCTACTTCATTAGAACTGACTCAAATGCATTCCTTTTTATGGCTGAGTAATATTCCATTGTATCTGTGTACCACAAATTCTTTATTCATTCATCTGTTGATGGACATTTAGGTGGCTTCCATGTCCTAGCTATTGTAAATAGTGCTGCAGTGAACATTGGGGTACATGTGTCTTTTTCAATTATGGTTTCTTCAGGGTGTATGCCCAGTAGTGGGATTGTTGGGTCATATGGTAGTTTTATTCCTAGTTAGTGATTGTACCAATTTGTATTCCCACTATCAGTGTAGGTGGGTTCCCTTTTTTTCATACTCTCTCCAGCATTTGTTGTTTACAGACCTTTGATGATGGCCATTCTGATTGGAAAAGGTCAGTTTTCATTTCAATCCAAAAGAAAGGCAGTGCCAAATTCAAACTACCACACAATCCCACTCATTTCACATGCTAGCAAAGTAATGCTCAAAATTCTCCAAGCTAGGTTTCAACAGTACAGGAACCAAGAACTTCCAGATGTTCAAGCTAAATTTAGGAAAGGCAGAGGAACCAGAGATCAACTGGCTAACATTCATTGGATCATGGAAAAAGCACGAGAATTCCAGAAAAACATCTACTTTTGCTTCATTGACTACGCTAAAGCCGTTGACTGTGTGGATTACAACAAACTGGAAAACAACACAGACAACAAACTGGAAAATTTTAAAGAGACAGGAGTACCAGACCACCTTACCTGCCTCCTGAGTAACCTGTATGCAGGTCAAGAAGCAACAGTTAGAACCAGACATGGAACAATGGACTGGTTCCAATTCGGGAAAAGAGTATGTCAAGACTATATATTGTCACCTTGCTTATTTAACTTATATGCAGAGTACATCATGTGAAATGCTGGGCTGGATGAAGCATAAGCTGGAATCAAGATTGCAGGGAGATATATATCAATAACTTCAGATATGAGGATGACACCACCCTTATGGTAGAAGGTGAACAGGAACTAAAGAGCCTCTTGATGAAGGTCAAAGAGGAGAGTGAAAAAGCTGGCTTAAAACTAAGCCAGCTTAAAACTCAAAAAACTAAGATCGTGGCATCTGGTCCCATCACTTCATGGCAAATAGATGGGGAAACTATAGAAACAGTGAGAGACTTTATTTTCTTGGGCTCCAAAATCACTGCAGATGGTGACTATAGCCATGAAATTAAAAGACACTTGCTCCTTGGAAGAAAAGCTATGACCAACCTAGACAGCTTATTATAAAGCAGAGACATTACTTTGCCAACAGAGGTCCATCTAGTCAAAGCAATGGTTTTCCAGTGGTCATGTATGGATGTGAGAGTTGGACTATAAAGAAAGCTGAGTGCCAAAGAACTGATGCTTTTGAGCTGTGGTGCTAGAGAAGACTCTTGAGAGTCCCTTGGACTGCAAGGAGATCAAACCAGTCAATCCTAAAGGAAATCAATCCTGAATATTCATTGGAAGGATTGAGGCTGAAGCTAAAACTCCAATACTTTGGCCATCTGATGCAAAGACCCAACTCACTGGAAAAGATGCTGATGCTGGGAAAGATTGAAGGCAGGAGGAGAAGGGGACAACAGAGGATGAGATGGTTGGATGGCATCACTAACTCAATGGACATGAGTTTGAGCAGGCTCTGGGAGATGGTGAAGGACAGGGAAGCCTGGCATGCTGAGGTCCATGGGGTCGCAAAGAGTTGGACAGGACTCAGTGACTGAACAACAAAATTCTGACTGGTGTGAGGTAATACCTCATTGTGGTTTTGATTTGTATTTCTCTGATAATCAGTGATGTTGAGCATCTTTTCATGTGCTTTTTGGCCATCTGTATTTTTTCTGTGGAGAACTGTCCACTTAGATCTTCTATCCAGTTTTTGATTGGGTTGTTATTATGAGATACAGCTGCATGAGCTTTTGTATATTTTGGAGATTAATCCCTTGTCATTTGCATTATTCACAAATATTTTCTCCTATTCTGTGGATTATGTTTTCATGTTGTTGATGGTTCCCTTTGCTGTGCAGAAGCTTTTAAGTTGAATTGGGTCCCATTTGCTTATTTATGTTTTTATTTTCATTACTCTAGGAGGTGGATCAAAAAAAGATATTGCTATAATTTATGTCAAAGGATGTTCTGCCTATGTTTTCCTCCAAGGGTTTTATGGTACCCAGCCTTACATTTAAGTCTTTGATCCATTTTGAGTTTATTTTTGTGTATAGTGTTAGAGAATGTTCTAATTTCATTCTTTGATATGTAGCTGTCTAGTTTACCCAGCACCATTTATTGAAGAGGCTATCCAGTGACTTTGTAAGCTTCATTTTCCCCATCTGCAAACTGGGGATAATATCATCAACTTTACAGAACTGTGATGAGGATGAAATAAAATCATAAATGTAAAGTGCTTAGCTGGAAAACAAATTGCAGACGACCCAGGGCTCCCTGGGGACAAGGGTCTGGCATATAGCAGGTGCTGATAAATACTTGTTAAATGATTGAATGAAATCCTAACCACAAGTTTAGCCATAAATCAGAACAAATGAGCTCACATGGGGGCCAGGAAGGGGTTTCCCTGGTGGCTCAGAGGTAAAGAATTTGCCTGCATTGCAGGAGTCACAGGAGATGTGGGTTTGATCCCTGGGTCGGGAAGATCCCCTGGAGGAGTGCATGACAACCTACTCCAGTATTCTTGCCTAGAGAATCCCCATGGACAGAGGAGCCTGGCGGGCTACAGTCCATAGGATCACAAAGAGTCAGACAGGACTGAAGTGACAACACACACGGGGGCCAGGAATCTGAAGGTTCTTGCCTGAGAAGATGCTCCTGGGTTTTGTTTCCCAGACAGTGTGTGTCTGGGAGTTGCTCCTTGGTTGAGCTAAGAACACAAAAGTGGTGACCAGTCATCCAGGCTTGCTATGGCATCCCTGTTCCATGGGGCAAGAGTCCTGGGACTTGTCCTGTGCTGGGGAGATTCTGCTTGTGGTCACTGGTGAGGGTCTGCACCACCCTGCGTGTATTCCTACAGCAGAGCAAACCTGTACAGTATTCCTATTGTAGTTCTGATGGTGTGGAGAGCAGCAGCTTTCTTTAATAAGCTGCCTACTACATGTCAAGACATAAAACAGTGATTTTCAAGTGACACCTTCCTCCTTGGATGGTATGTGTTGGGGGGCATCCCTGGTCATCACAGTGACTGAGTAGGAGTATTATTGGGATGCTAATATCCTGCAGTGTTCCAGACAGACCAGCCATGAGGACTGCCCTGCTGAACAAGTCAATTGAGTCCCTGTTGAGAAATACTAAGTGAAACTTAAATGGAGCAACATAGACAAACCTAAATTAGCCCTTACACTTACATTAGTTGTAATTTTCACAACAGCCCTGTAGAGTAGGTACTATTATTGCCATTCTAAAGATTGGATTTGGGGTATGGGGTCCTTTTCAGAGCCAGATAAGTGCAAATAGTAAGGATATTACATAGTGATTTTTGGCCCCCAAGGGAGATGGAAGAGGAAGGATTTTGTTCTTTATTTGCATAGACTCTGTTAAACAATTACAATAATAAAGGGCAGTAAGAGATCTTTAGTAAGGGAAGCCAGGCCTCTACTTGCCAGAGTTTCATGTAGTGCATTCTAAATTATAAGTGGAAATATATAAATTTATGGACTTTGTGTCCTCATCAATGTCATAACTCGGAAAGAGAAGTAGGGGACCAAATGATATTTTTCCAATACATCTGTTGCCCTCTCCATAGATAAATAGCACATTTGGATAGCATGAAATAGGACTCAGATTCTTCAAACAGACCCCAAAAGGAATTTTGTTTTTATCTCTCCTTATAATTTATTATTTTAAACCTCAGCTGTAATAATAAAAGCCACTCCTGTAGCCTCTTAAGATAGCTGTTATCTATTAAGATAATCTATTAAGTAAGATAATCTATTAAGATAGCTGTTATCAGATCCTAGTGAGCCAGTCAGAAGTTTTAGTGAAAAGTATTCAAAAATATCTACTTTTTGACTATGCCAAAGCCTTTGACTGTGTGGATCACAACAAACTGTGGAAAATTCTTCAAGAGATGGGAATACCAGACCACCTGACCTGCCTCTTGAGAAACCTGTATGCGGGTCAGGAAGCAACAGTTAGAACTGGACATGGAACAACAGACTGGTTCCAGATAGGAAAAGGAGTACGTCAAGGCTGTATATTGTCACCCTGCTTATTTAACTTATATGCAGAGTACTTCATAAGAAATGCTTGACTGGATGAAGCACAAGCTGGAATCAAGATTGTCGGGAGAAATATCAATGACCTCAGATATGCAGATGACATCACCCTTATGGCAGAAAGCAAACTAAAGAGCCTCTTGATGAAAGTGAAAGAGGAGAGTGAAAAAGTTGGCTTAAAACTCAACATTCAGAAAACTAAGATCATGGCATCTGGTCCCATCACTTCATGGGAAATAGATGGGGACACCATGGAAAGAGTGAGAGACTATTTTCTTGGGCTCCAAAATCACTGCAGATGGTGACTGCAGCCATGAAATTATAAGATGCTTGCTCCTTGGAAGAAAAGCTATGACCAATCTAGACAGCACATTGAAAAGCAGAGACATTACATTGCCAACAAAGGTCCATCTAGTTAAAGCTATGGTTTTTCCAGTAGTCATGTATGGATGTGGGAGTTGGACTAAAAAGGAAGCTGAGCGCCAAAGAATTGATGCTTTTGAACTGTGGTGTTAGAGAAGACTCTTGGGAGTCCTTTGGACAGCATGGAGATCCAACTGATTACTGAAAGGAAATCAGTCCCGAATATTCATTGGAAGGACTGATGCTGAAGCTAAAACTCCAGTACTTTGGCCACCTGATGCGAAGAACTGACTCGTTTGAAAAGACTCTGATGCTGGGAAAGACTAAAGGTGGGAGGAGAAGGGGACCACAGAGGATGAAATGGTTGGATGGGATCACTGACTCAATGGACATGAGTCTGAGTAAACTCTGGGAGTTGGTGATGGACAGGGAGGCCTGGTGTGCTACAGTCCATGGGGTCACAAAAAGTTGAACATGACTGAGTGAATTTACTGAACTGATTCAACTTTTATTGGCTGTTAAGAGTTTTGATGGTTGTAAAAGCAAATAGCACTTTGACAATTCAGACAAAGGGATTTTCTTCCTTTTGCAGCTGTTTCTAGGTAAAAAATTGCAACCTGAAAAACATCTGCCTACTTGGTGCTGTATAATTTGGAAGGGACCACTGCTTGGATGACCACTAGAGGGCACTCTGCCTCCATAACTGGGGCACAAACCAAGCCTTGGAGATGAGAAAGATTTCAAGGGCACAGGGTGAACCACAATGCAAGGGCAATAAAGTGCAAAGCTTTGGACTGGGTGTGACTTTAATACAATCCATAAAAGGAACAGAAGTCACCAGTGAACAGTACTGTGGCTTGAAGCACAGCCCTAAGAAAAGTATTCAATGCAGTATCAAGATTCTCTCATCTTTCCTTAACGAACCCTGAGCAGCATAGAAAATATACAAGCCCATGTTTTTAAAATGTCTGGATTTGCTAAACCAACAAATGAAGAGGGGATGATTTGTAATTCTGCAAGACTCCATTTCTTAATTGGGGGGGTTTCCCACATTTACATTTAACATAATCTGCCTACCTCAATCTACACTGAATATGGGCAACAACTCAACTTTTATGTTAAGGGGCCACAGATCTTCTGCAGATCATTGCTGCACTGGATCATGAAGATTCTGTGGTCACAAGCACCATGTGGCTTTCATATAACAGGGACATTTGACACTCAAACCTTCATGATGTAGGGGCTGCCACTGTAATGTCCAGCTAATTGACTGGTAACAACAGATATCTATTGTTTCTTCTCCCCCACTCATCTTTCTCTACAGAAGATATAATGACTGAGCAAGAAAATGACCCACAGGTAGTAGAGATAATAACTGTTACCATCAGTGAGCATTTAATATTTCAGAACACAGTGCAAAATTCTTCATGTGTACTATCTTATTTAACCCTCAACACAAACTTTCTAACATATGCATTATCCCACTTTTACATATAGGAAAATTGAGGGTCAGAAAAATTAAGCAAACAAGTCTTTACAGTAAGCTACAGAAGTAGGATTTGAGTCCAGGTCTCTCTAACTCCAAAGCCTGGGAACATAAAGGCTATGCCAAACTGCATTGTTTTCATTTCATGTTGAACAAGAATCCCTTGCTATCCAAGGCAATCCTGTATTTCTGGGAACATTATAAACCATGCCATGAAAACCTATTTCTTCATCAATAAAATAGGAACAACAAAAATAACGTTTCCATGGGGCTGTTGCAAGGACTGAAGTTTATAGTGTAAAATGTTTATACAGTTCCTGACATCTAAGTGGGTCCTCGATAAATGCTATAACTCTTACTATTATTACTAAAAATTCAATCTAGTACCTAACATTGTATGGCCTTGTGATTTGAAAGAACTAAGGCACCTTCTAAGAACATACCTTATCATGAGAAAATAATTTTTGAACTGGGAAAGCAAGACTTATTCTTGCACAGAATACAGGGATCCAGTAAGGTAGGAAAAACTCCGGGATCCACATCAAAAATGATTTTTCTTAAAAAAAAAAAAAAAAACAAAAAAAACAGAAAAGAAAAGAATCCCACGGAGGCTCCAATAGTCTTTCCAAAACAAATCCATCCTTTCCAACACAAATTGAAAACAAAACAAAACAAAAAACAACAAAGCATACAACACAAATTGATACATTTCTCATAGTCATTAATTCCACATTCTATTGCTAGTTTATTGCAGGGACCAGGACTTCCTTGGGAGATGGTGAGGACGGTCTGCTTTGACATTAGAAAAAAACCAAAGTGGGCCACAGCCACGTTATAAACCACCAACTGCCGAATACCCAAGCTCCTGGCCACGCCCTGCAAACAAGCCAATCAACGTGCAGCAGAACACCTGCAGATTCATCCTCACCGCAACTTCCGACTCACCGTAGGTGAAGTAGGCCACTTCCGGCGGAAGTGAGACGTTGTGGAGCGTGTCGTCCTGCACGTGCTGGTCCACGTACAACTGGGCCTCACTGGCCTTCAGGAACGCCATGAACCTCGCGGTGAAGGAGGCCACGAAGATGGACAGCATCCCGAAATCCAAGAGGTTCCACAGGTGTAGCACGTACTCCCGCGGCCCCTCCTCCCAGATTTCCTTGCATTCGGACCAGATCATTCCTGCGGGAGAGTGAGAAGGTCAGGCTCATTGTTCTCAGTTCTCAGGGTGTGTGTGACCACAGGGTCCACGGAGGGGACCAGGGAGCAGGTGTAAACGTAATAAGCTCTTTGGAGCTTGGAATGTTGAGAGCCAGCAGAGCGCAAAAATATGCTTTCAAAGGCAGATGTAGACGTAGGAAATTCTCAGGCTGCAAGAATTTGTGCCACCTGTCCTGCTTACAGAGAAATCATCTCCAGGTGTGAGGAGAGAATTCTCATCTGTTGATAGATTCCTGGAGGTAATATATGAGAAATATAATGGCTGACATTTGTAAGACTATTTTAAGAGCTAGAAGGTTATAAGTAATCATACAGTTCTAAACTAAGTATAATGAAGCTGACGTCCGGGAATGGGAAAGGGTTTTCCCAGTTATGATCTAGAACCCAGTTCCCCTAATTCCCTGATTAGCTCGCTTGCCTTTGTATTTCTGTGAATGTTTCAGGTTCCTCCTGCCTCTCCTGGAACGGTTTGTTTTGGTTATTAGTTTTGTTTTTTCCTTACTCTTTTTTTTTTTTCTTTTTTTCTTTTCTTTTTTTTTTTTTTTTCCTTACTCTTTTACAACTTACTGGATTTTAAAGACTTGTGTCTTCATTGTTACATAGTAAACAATGTAGAAATCAATAAGATGTTGCTAGCTCCCCCACCCCGCCTCAAAGTCACTCTCATGAGGTAGCCTAGACTAATAACTCGAGTGTGTATACCTGCACAATTCAATATGGTAGCCACTAGTCACATGTGGATACTGAGCACTCCAAATGCGGCCAGTTAAATTGAGGGATGCTACATATATAAGTATAGAATATGCGCCAAATTTCAAAGACTTTACACAAAAAATGTAAAATATTTCAACAGTTTAAAATTTCAATCACATGTTGAAATACCAATATTTTAGATATATTGGGTTAGATAAAATCTATTATTAATTTCAGCTTTTATAATGTAGCTATCAGAAAATTTAAAATTGTGGCTTATGATGTGGCTTGCCTTATATTTGTACTGAATAGTGCTTTTCTCTACCGTTATCTTCACTGATTATTAAAAGTAAATTGGTTTAGATGATTAAAAATAAATCACTCAGTAACATTTGGATAATAAACATTTTATAATACACATTTATTATCATTTATACATAATGTGTACATATTCTATATATATGTATTAACTCCCTCAAATCTTTACAATAACCCTATGAAGTGCATTCTGTTATTATCCCAGTTTTACAGTTAACATATTCTTAGCCATAGTGAGGATATTCTCCAGATAGGAGGCAGGAGATCTGAAATTTGAGTCTGGAAGGTCTTGCCCAAGAGTCCATACTCTTGACCACTATGGTTTTTGCTCCTCCAGGAAATAGAATTGGGTTGAAAGCAGCTAATGAAGGAAAAGGTTTCCCTGGTGGCTCAGATGGTAAAGAATCTGCCTTACAACGCAGGAGACCTGGGTTCAATCCCTGGGTTGGGAAGATCTCCTGGAGACAAGAATGGCTACCTACTCCACTATTCTTACTTGGGAAATCCCATGGACAGAGGAGCCTGGTATTCTACAACCTGTGGGGTCACAAAGATTCAGTCGGATACGACTGAGCAGCTAACACTTAATGAAGGAAAAAGACTCTTGAATGTTTTCTAATTAACATCAAAGGGTTTATAGCTACTCAGACATAGGAAAGATTTGATGCAGAACTAGCCCATTCTATATCATGTTACACTTCACCTGCTTACTTAGGAGGTTAATGTGGTAAAAGAATCACTAACTGGTTGGTTAGTGAGACAGTTCCAGCTCACTGACCACATGTTCCCTAAAGGTTAACACCACCAGCCTCTTGGCACCCTCCTGGCTCCTGAGCATCAAATATGGATGACCTGTCTTCTCCAATTCCTCCTGCCTCTCCCACAGCTGTTTAGAGAAGTTGTGGCTTTGTTTAATGAAACAGATTCTAAGAGCTGCATGTTTGTATCAAATTGGAGTCTCTGCAAAAGGAAATGTCCCAAAACATTGAAAATCTTTTTACAAGACTCCCACCACCACACACACCTTGTTGTTCCCTGGTTTTTATCTTCACAAAGCCATACTTCCAAAGCTTACACTTTGAAAATTTTTGTGGTAATTCAGTGAAGTAAAATTTCTCTAACACTGAAATGTACTTTCATCTGTGCCCGTTCAAATAGGTTTTTAAAGTATGTTACGGGAAAAACCATTACAGCCTGGAAAAAATAATGTTTGTTGCTTTCCTCTATGCACCTGCCCCCTCCCCCTGATAATTAAAATTCCTAATGTCTTGGTGGACTGCTTTTAGCTGAGCACTAGGAGAATTACAGGCTATCAATTACCTTAATTCAGGAAGCCCTTGGTTCAATTCTACCTTGGTCACTCATTGGGTGTGTGACCTTGGATAAGTTCCTTGATTTTCTTGAAATTTTGATGTAATTTCCAGCACTAAAAGTTCTGTAAATATGAAATGCAAATTATTTACAGTAAACTGACTTTTCTGACCAACATAGAGGCACCTCATTGGGGATTGCAAATCATTTCCTCCATGGTCCAGCGCCCACGTCAGTCTTCCCAGATTTACATATTAACTTACCCAGACTAATTTAAATTATTCTAAGGCCATGAGTAAGAGTAGCATGGGCCCAAGGGTATGAGCAACAGCAATGCTTAACGAAAAAAGAAATGTGTGAAATTAAGTACTTTAGTGAGTGAAATCAGGTTTCCTGCTTCCAAGGTACTGAGGGTGGTTCAGCATTTTATATCCAAGCTGAGCCTCCTGGGCTCCTGCCCCAGCATGTCAGTCTGGTGAGGGTATGGAGCCCAGGGGCTTAGAGGGTAAGGATGTTGGGCACTGGAGCCTCCTTCAGGCAACCCCTTCACTCAGGGATGTCTGTAGCCCAGAGAGCAAAGTCACTGGTAATTAATGGGGATGACTGGCAGGGGAACAGATTGAGACATGCTGGGAAGCCTTGAGGGAAATGAGTAGCTTTTCATTCAGGCAGGTTCTAAGTAAGGCCTGCGGGCTGCTGAGATGGGGCTTGACAGTTCAAAAGGCTGTTCACCCCGATCCCTGCCTCAGATGCTTTTCAGAAGGGAATCCCCCTTCAGATTCCTGTGAGACTTAACTGTGTGAACTCCTTAAATGGCCATAACCCCTTCCTCTACATAGGGTTTCTCTACACTGTCTCTGGACCCCCAGACCACCTCCTGGGAGGCTTGTCTGTTCTTCTGGGTTACCTTCTGATTAGGCATTCTGTTAACTCACAGGCAGGAGAATATGCCAATAAGCCCTCAACCTTCAAGCCCTAACATCCAAACTCCAGCTCAACGGCAGGTCCTTTGCAACAGATCTGGGTCTCAAGCTCATTTAACGTTCATTTGTTTTCCAGGCAAGGAGATGGTATTACTAGATTCAAAAATTTTCTAACAAAGCTCATCTTCTCCCCTGACTTTTAGTAGCTAATCATTGTTGAGCATCCTCTAGGTGCCAGGCCCTGTGCTAAGCCCTTTTCTAATTCTAAAGCTTCCTTACAGCCTGGTAGGTGCCTCCTCTAATTGTCTCCACTTTACAGATGGACAGACTCATGTACAAAGATGACAAGTAAATTATCCAGAGTCTCAGTGAGTTCAGGACCCTCTTTCCACTGCACTGTTGCCCGCCTCCCCAGCGCCCCGCATGCTCTCTACTAGGCGCAGGCTTACTATCACTGTTCAGGAACTCATTCACCACTTAATGGACAGTATTGAGCTCCGACTTTGTGCCAGGGACCATTCTAGGGGTATAGCAGCCAAGAAGATGCTTCCCCCCAAACACGGTCTAGTGCTGGAGACAGGTGTGTCTACAAACAGTAGTGCTACAAGGTGACAGATGCTGTGATAAGAATGTCCAGGAGACTGTGTGGACACACAGGGATAGGAGCAGTCAGTAGTAGAGTCATGAGACCCAGCAGAGTGCCTGTAATAACATACTTCTGACTGAATGAAGTAGGTTACTCCTGGCATGAGGAGTTAGCCGGGGGGGGGGGGGGGGGGGTGAGGGGGGCGGGGGAAGGAGCAGGGGCTGAAAGGCCGTGTCCATGAGGGAGAACAGGCTATTCTAGGAAACTGCAGGAGGCTCAGTATGGCTTAAGGGTTGGTAGGGATAAGGGGCTGGAGATTGGCATCAGAGAAGGTTAGTGAAGGCCCAGTAGATCCTGAAACGCTTTCCTTCAGACCTTGAGGGGGAGACGAGGCAGCTCAATATCTAGATAGTCACCCTGAGCAGCCAGATAGCTCCTGAAGGTGATAAATGGATCAGTAATGTGGTCTGATTTGCTGGGAGAAATTTTGGCAGTTTGGTTGAAGTAGTCTGATTGGAAATCTTACCTAAATCAATGAAGGAACCATCAAAGGAATGACTTAGGTGAGAAACAGCTCATTTTCTTTGGCAGTTTTATTCTTGGTCAAACTTACATGTATGATTCTGCAGCTAAGGCTTAGCACTGCCCTCAGAGAGTTTGTAATCTCTGGTGGGTAGGCCGAGGGGGCAACTTGATCCTCACATTTTACACACGTGAGAGCTGAAATTTAGCGAGGCGGAGCCACCAAGGAGGAAGGGACACAGTCAGTCCTGGGTCTGTTGATAACCAGTCTCAAGCTCTTTCCTCCTCACCTCCTTAAGTGTGTTTTCCTACTTTGCTAGACATTTACACCTCCATCAATTGGGCTTTCAACTGGGGTGGCTGTTTAAGAAAACACTGCCAGGTTCTCTGTAAGAGTTGGGTCGAGAGAGTCTTCATGACATAATTCTCTTCCTAGATGGAGAAGGGACCTGCGTAGTGGAGAGGCTTCCTGCCCTCCAAGCTCCATGGCTTTCTGCAGACCACAAATGTTATAGTCCTCTGGTGAGCATTGGTCTAGCCACAGTCTCTAACTCACATGATGGATTATCAGCTCTTTCCTCTACCCCAGAGTGACTGCTAATGACTGC